GGATATCAGCACAGACTTAGAAGCTCCCAGTAAAGGCCTGAAGAGCAAGAAAAGGGGTTCCAGAAGCAACAAAAGTAGCAGCAAGTGGGCAGAAGATTTTCTTTCAGGAAGGTTTTAAATCTAGTATCTGTAACTGTAAAACCACTCACATGTTGTATTTCATATTGGGTGAGCTTTNTTCAGCTTCAACATCAGTCCTTTCAATGAACACCCAGGACTGATCTCCTTTAGGATGGACAGGTTGGATCTCCTTGCAGAGATCTGTATCATATATTGGTAAATACAGGAACTTGGATGAATTTGAGTTATTAATGCTGAGTTAAAGTAGCCAGTTTCAAAAGATTACAAACTATACGACTCAATTTATGTGACATTCTCAAAAGATACAAACTATATTGACAGAGAATAGATCAGTGGTTGTTAGTTGTTCAAGGAGTGGAGAGTAACTACAAAGGGACCACAGAAGTAATGTTTTTGGAGAGATGTGTTCTGTATCCTGACTGTGGAGATGGTTGCGCAAATCTGTGTGTTAAAAATTCACAGCACTATAGAACAAAATGAAGCCCATTTTACCATGTATTCATTTAAAAAAACAAATTTAAAGTAACTCCTAAGTTCAGAAGAAAAATAAGACTAGTCTAAGAAGTTTCTCAATTTTAAAATTTATAATGAATAACTTTCCAGTTCTTTAAATTACATATTTCACTTTCCTAATAGACTTGAGGTCACCATAAAAGTAAGGTTGATGATACTTATTTTTAACAAGATTTGGGGGAAATAAGAACTCGCATGTAACCTTAGAGGAGTAAATTACTATAAGCTCTTTGGATGGGTATTTATCTCTAAGGAAAGATTAAATGTATATTCTTTTTGATCCAACAATTCTATTTTTAGGAAATTCTAGTACAGATGGACAATATGCAAGAATATACATATAAGCATGTTTACTACAGCATAATTTATAATAGGAAAAGAATATAAACAATGTTGATGTTCATTATTAAGTAAATCACATAGATGTATACAATTAAATATCAGAAAACCATTTTAGAATTTTTGTTTATTTATTTTTTACCTCCTCCACACAGCATGCAAGATCTTAGCTCCCTGACCAGGGATGGAACCCAGCTTCCCTGCATTGGAAGCTCAGAGTCCTAACTACTGGACCACTAAGGAATTCCCAAAAACCATTTTTAAAATGAAGCTAATCATCAATCACTCATTTTGATTTAAAAACTACAAAATTATTAAGAAAAACTCCCACCTCCCTCTCCACCCCATCCCTCTGGGTCTTCCCAGTGCACCAGGCCCGAGCACTTGTCTCATGCATCCAACCTGGGCTGGTGATCTGTTGATGATACTTATTTTTAACAAGATTTGGGGGAAATAAGAACTCTCATGTAACCTTGGAGGAGTAAATTACTATAAGCTCTTTGGATCGGTATTTATCTCTAAGGAAAGATTAAATGTATATTCTTTTTGATCCAACAATTCTATTTTTAGGAAATTCTAGTACAGATGGACAATATGTAAGAATATACATATATGCATGTTTACTACAGCATAATTTATAATAGGAAAAGAATATAAACAATGTTGATGTTCATTATTAAGTAAATCAAATAGATGTATACAATTAAATATCAGAAAACCATTTTAAAATTTTTGTTTATTTATTTTTAACTCCTCCACACAGCATGCAAGATCTTAGCTCCCTGACCAGGGATGGAACCCAGCTTCCCTGCATTGGAAGCTCAGAGTCCTAACTGCTGGACCACTAAGGAATTCCCAAAAACCATTTTTAAAATGAAGCTAATCATCAATCACTCATTTTGATTTAAAAACTACAAAATTATTAAGAAAATGACAAGGTAAAGAGTCACATATAGAGACTGATCTCATTTTTGTTTACAAAAGGCCTTATATAAGTTGGGAGAACTTATATGTAAAGAAAAATTCCCAGAAGGATATATAAATATTGTTAGTAATAGTTATCTCTTTGGAGTAAGCATGGAGATATAAGGGAGAAAAGAAAGGAAATAGTTTAAACTTTTCTGAACTGCTAGAAAAACCACATGCATGATACTATCAAAAAAAACTATTTTTAAAAATACTAGTAAGATATAATAACAATTTTGTAGAAAGTTTATTCATCAGGAGGGCTGGTCCTCTGCCTACCCTGGTAATCCACATAGTCTAAGGGATCTTAATGAGGTCAGGGCAAAGGACTGGAAAGCTGGTTATCACTGATGAGTGAGATGGGGATGGAGTAAATTCTTCATCCAAGGAATTACTCTCTTACTGCCTTCTCAGTCAGAATATAAACTGCATATCCACAACCAAAGTAAGACCAAATCAGTCAATCCTAAAAGAAATCAAGCCTGAATATTCATTGGAAGGACTGATGCTGAAGCTGAAGCTCCAATACTTTGGCCATCTGATGCAAAGAGCTGACTCACTGGAATAGACCCTGGTACTGGGAAAGATTGAAGGCAAAAGGAAAAGAGGGAGGCAGAGGATGAGATGGTTAGACAGCATCACTGACTCAAAGGACATAAATCTGAGCACACTCTAGGAATAGTGAAGGACAGGGAAGCCTGGTGTGCTGCAGTCCATGAGGTTGCAAAAGTTGAACACAACTCAATGACTGAACAACAACCAAAGGGAAGCTGCCTGGGGTTCTGCAACCAGATCTGTTGATAAATTCATGGATGAGTTCCATGGATTGGTTGGACCCAATTTTTCTGCATTAACAGTCTATATGATTTAGTTTAAATTTTTTCCTAATTTACATTATAGTGAGTGTTTCTATGACATATGTATAAGAAAACAAGAAATTCTTGATACCTAAAGACATCATTAACAACCACAAAACTAGCCTTGTGATCTTGAGAAAAATTACATGATTTTTTGTTCGCTAATGTCCTTAACAATACAACAGAGGACCAGGTAACAGGTAAGACCCTTACCCTTCAGGTAAGAACCTTGCTACTTCCTAGAATCAGTGAGTCACCATGTCTGGTTAGAAATTGAATTTTACACAGTTATTTTTCCAGATTCAGATTCTATTTGTCATTAGATTAAAACTAGCCACTAGTAATAGTTTCAATCTTGAAACTATTTTTACAAAACATTATATATTCTGAGTTGGTTGTTCAGATTTACTAATTGTAGATACAAAGCTCTTAAACAGAAAAATCTTCACAAATTTAAAATTTTCTCTTCTATTAAGTATTGAAATACATCTTACTTTATAGATGTTATATTTTAAAAATGTGTGTGGCTTAAAGAAACTATTTCATGACATTTAAGTCCAGGTTGGATGCATGATTGAGACAAGTGCTCGGGGCTGGTGCACTGGGATGACCCAGAGGGATGGAATGGGGAGGGAGGTGGGAGGGGAGTTCAGGATGGGGAACACATGTAAATCCGTGGCTGATTCATGTCAATGTATGGCAAAAACCACTACAATATTGTAAAGTAATTATCCTCCAAATAATAAATGAAAATAAATAAATAAATAAAAACTTCAAACTATAAAAAAAAAAAGAACCAAAGTCAAAGAACCATTTACTAAAAATAACTTTACTGGAAATCTGCCTAAATATTTTAAAATATTATAAAAAACAATATTAAAACTTTAAGGGATAAAGTAGTTAAGGGATAAAAGCCAAGGATCAGCTTGTTTTTTCTCAGATAAATTAGTTTATTCTCATTAGCCTGCATGTCATTCCTTACAGAGCTCCCTGGTACCTGTGTCCTGCTACTTAATCTTGGATGCTTGTCCCAACTCTATTCCAGCCTCACCTCAAGGGGCTGACTTCTCTGAACTTTCCATGCATGCTGCCCCCTGCCTGCACCTCACACATCTTTCGTGCCCTCTCTCGGCGGCATCATTCGCCCACGGCAGCTCTGGGTGCTAGCCTGAACAACCCGGCTGGCTGAGAGTCCTGCACTGGCCAGACAGAGTCTATTCTTGAGAGACAGAAGAAGAAAGGGAAGGGACAGACAGACAGAGGTCTGAGTGAGGACAGAAAAGGGAGAGGGCAGGAAGGTAAAAGGAAAGAGTTAAGGAATAGGTATGTTGGTTACTAATTTGCCATCACAATTCAGTTTCTTCCTTCTTTTACTTAAAAACCTTGCCTCAGATAATTTCTTCATATCTAAAAAAGACTCCCTTGAATGATGACTAGTGACCTAATACGTGCTAACCTGATCTCTGATGAGAAATTGATTTATCACCCACATTTTAGAGCCCTGGGAAAGCTGACATGAAGGGATAAATGGACTCCAGGGCAGGCAATGAATTTCTGAGGTGCATTTCAGAAGTTCTCCTCTAAACCATAAATAAAAGCAGATTGACTACAGCCTGGCACAGGTGACCAGGACAAAACATCATGCCACCCAGGACCATCAGTCAACACCCTATTCACAATGCCCCCAAGTGGATGACCAGACATTCTGTGTACTACAGAGATGTTTCCCAAGCCAACTTTTCCAAGAGCTCATTGGGGGAGGTGGCGAGGCAGTTCACAACACCAGAGCCTGAAAACATTATTCAGCAAAGTATTCTGGGGAGCTTGAGGGGTGCACAAGAATACTACAATCTTCAGTAAAGTTATCAGCAAGATTTTAATTTCAAAATACACCTGCCTCTCTTACCATCCCCACACAACACTGACTTTCCACCCTGAACCATTTACTAGCAAACCCCACAATCAAAGGGGAACTAGGCACCTGTGCCCCTGTTTGAACATGAACCATGAAGGTAAGATGGTGAGGAGGGGGAGAGACACAGGCCTCTAGGAATAGCGACCATGGGGCGCACCAAGGCCAGCAAACAAGAGAGAAGTTACACAGTGCTCATGGGGAGGGAGAAGCCCCCCACCCCCAGATCTTCAACTCATCCATTTCTTTCCTGGCAGGAGAAACTTTGTGAAGAAACAGAATCTATCATTGGACATTTCATAGCAAAAGAGAACCCATAGATTGACACTTACATTTCATTTGCTTGGAGATGGACTTGTTAGGTTCAAGCCAGTGCTGGGAAGAAAAAAAGCAGAGATTGTGGGTCAAATGGCTGGACCATGTGATGCATACTTAATAAAAGGAACTTAATAAAGATATTCTTTTTCCAAAGTACAGCCTCGGTTCCCCATAGATATTCCTTTGGGCTCCACCCTCTGAAGATCAACATGAGCAATTGGGCAGTAATAATATCACAGGCAAGGGTATAAATTACAGAGAATTAATACTTTCTGAGTAGTATTTGAGTCATAGATTTGCTAGGAGAGAAGGACAAGGGAGAAAATATGCACTTAAATGGGATGTTCCAGCGGCTCTAGTTGGCTCCTAGGTGATTCTTTGAGCTCCATCGCTCTGGGCAAGCCACAGCTGGCTAAAGACTTTGACATCCGTGACCTCTAAGAGTCATAGTCCAGCACCATCCTTTCAAGTTAACAGTGGGGCAAGCCACCGTTAGCCCTGTCACACAGAGAGGAAATTCTTCCTTCACAGTAGGGAGGAACAAATTATTTTAAACATCTTATTTCAGAGGTCTGAGGTCATCAAGAAGAAAAATCAGCTGCAACACAAAACAAAGAAGACCCAAATCCTGAATAGCTCAGAATCATGTTACTGATAAGTATTTGAAGCAGACACAATGCTGGCCCCAGCAACCAGCTCTCTCCACACCATGAGTGAAGGTCACTTTGACATGCCAAGACCAGGGCAGCCTCTGATGTTACAAAACATGATGCCCTTGACGCTGCTTAAGGAATATCAGGAAGCATCACTTTATACACCAGAAGTTTAGATAGACAGATGGTAAGGGGGGTGCCACTGAATATCCATCAAGATGTTGGGGAGTCCTCACTAATGGGGCACTCTCGCTCTGCTAGATACTGGAGACAAAAGAAGAGGAGGAAACTTACCATCAGTCAAGCACTTACACCTCAGTTTATCTCATTGCAGGATCTAGTAAGCCTCAGGATTCTGTATTATCCTTATTGTTTGATGTAAATACATAGCCATGAAGTGGAATTAGGAGCTAGTATTGTTGAGGTTTTACTAAGTGCACAGTTTCCATGGGCCATCACTACCACCCCATTTACAGACAAGAAATCTGGGGCCTGGGATGGTTAAAGAACTTGCCAAAGAAATGGCAAAGTGAAGAAATCGTGACACCAGCTTTCAGTGCAATTCTAGTGCAGAGGCCCTTAACCTTGGGCTTGTGACTTCCCCACTGGCCAGTTCACTCTAAAATGCTATTATTTTCCTTGCTGAACACTCCCTACCTTCCTAGGAACTAGAGAATTGAGTGTCCAGTCAGCGGATTCCAGTCTAGGATTTCAGATCTTTGCACTCTTTAAAGAAAAACGGGGTCTCCTGGCTATTTAAATCTAATTCTTCTAAATGAAGAATCTGCCAGAAAACCGTGCATTTATCCCTGACCTGTTGAACACCAAACTAATACAGCAAACTTCTTTGTTTCTGGCCAGAATTCCACCAACTCATGTTGGGAACCCTGATTATCTCCTTTTTCCCTGATTTTTTTGTGGTAAAATCTACATAACATCTGGTCCCATCACTTCATGGCAAATAGATGGGGAAACAATGGAAACTGTGAGAGACTGATGTTGAAGCTGAAACTCCAATACTGTGAAGAGTTGACTCATTGGAAAAAACCCTAATGCTGGGAAAGACTGAAGGCAGGAGGAGAAGGGGATGACAGAGGATGAGATGGTTGGATAGCATCACTGACTCGATGGACATGAGTTTGAGTAGACTCCAGGAGTTGGCGATGGGCAGGAAAGCCTGGAGTGCTGCAACCATGGGGTCACAAAGAGTCAGACATGACTGAGCAACTGAAATGAACTGATACATAACATGGGCCTTCCCAGGTGGTACTAGCGGTAAAGAATATGCCTGCCAGTGTGGGAGATATAAGAGATGTGGGTTTGATCCCTGGATTGGGATGGTCCCGCTGGAGGAGGGTGTAGCAATCCACTCCAATATTCTTTCCTGGAAAACCCCAACAAAGGGGCCTGGTGGGCTATAGTCCATAGGGTCACAAAGAGTCAGTCAAGACTGAACCAAATCGGCACTCATGTATACATAAAATTCACCATCCTAACATAAAATTCACCATCCTAGCCACCCTTATGGCAGAAAGTGAAGAGGAACTAAAAAGCCTCTTGATGAAACTGAAAGAGGAGAGCGAAAAAGTTGGCTTAAAGCTCAACATTCAGAAAACTAAGATCATGGCATCTGGTCCCATCACTTCATGGCAAATAGATGGGGA